CAGAATTTCATTATATTTCGTCACCTGTTCCTGATCTGCTGGATCTTTAACCAAAATATCACATTATGTTTTCTTGTTCTTCTAATGGCCCCACTTGCAAAATTCTTCCTTGCAAATCCAATTGTTATAACTGAACCCTTTGTGGCCAACCTCTTTGGCTTCTTCAGGTAAGTGTCGAAATAGGTTCTAGCTAACTGCTAGTTCTAACAAAGACTCTATGAAGCAAAGCTTAGGCCAAGCGATTCGGATGGACCAGCACTGGGTGAAGCTAATTCATGGCTCCTTTGCAAAAAGACTTTAATAATTACCTAATAAATTAATAGGTCAGATCCTCAGTGGACTGGCTGCAGGTTCCCAAAGTCTTCAAGGGCAAAGGCTGTGTAAAGAGACACTACCCCAGAGCTAGCTTTGAGGGCCCCCCACCCGCCTCCAGATGGGGGTCCTATCAAGCCTTTCCTGGAAACCTGCAGACTGGCACCCAAGGAGCTTCTGAAAGACCAGGGAGGCTGAGGCTGCTCAGGCAAACATTTTATTGGAGAAGAGCGTCTGATGGGTGAGGTTGGAAGGGTCACACCCCCATTTCACCCCCAAGGCAGAAACCAAGGAAGCCTTGCTCTCTTCATCCTCTCACTTGGTGCGGTAGAAGGTGTCTGTACCAACCCTACAATGAAACAGGAGGGAGGGAAATGTCAAAATTCATGGTGGCATGATTGGTGTCCCTTCCCCAGGCTGAACATCATCATCATCATCATCACACACACACACACACACACACACACAAACACACACCGTGTCATTCCCTGGGAGAATGAAAAGGGGGGCAAAGGAAATGGATGCTCTGGTTCTCAGGGATGGTGAGGGCCGTGTATATTCCCAGCCAGGCATTGCAGGCAACGTCTGATGAAGGGAAGGACACTGACCCAGAGCAGGCTGGGCGAATTCTCCTCGGTCTTTGGGGGCCTCCCTTGAAGCAGCTCCATCCAGTTGTCTGAGAAGGTGGCCTCTTTGGAGGGGAGCAGAAGAGCTGCAGGCCTTGTGCTCAGGGAAGGCACCCAGGTGGCCTCTTAGCCCCATACAAATATGGGGACTGTGCTGGGCTACTGCTCTCTGATTTGAGTAGAGCAATTAATGCCAAATCTGAGTGTTGCCAGCTGTGGGCAACCCAGACTGTGTTGCCACTCAAACCACATTTGTCAGCGAGAAGGACCTGGGGAAGCTCCTCAAAAGCTTTGCTGTGCTTCTTTGTGGGGGGAGTGGCAGAACCGGAGTCTCCAGCCTCTCCCGCAGGAGCTGCTCAGCTCTGGGTGCGGAAACATCCCGAGAGAGGCAAACCCGTTTGGGGCGCCCTTTCAAGAGCCACTTTGGGTGGGGGTGGAAGAGAGAGAAAAAGAGAGGTGTCCAGGGCCCCTTTAGTTAGGGGGCACAGCACTTCAGCCCCTGCGTTTCCTTACCTGGTCGCCCCCCAATCCTCTGCAGCGGATTCCACCTTCTCACGCAGCAGCCACGTTGTCCTCAGCTGCTCCTCTCCGTTCTTGTCCCTCAGATACTGGCCCGCAAAGACAGAGATGGCTTCTGAGGGAGGAGACTTTAGATACTGGCCCGCAAAGACGGAGGTGGATTCTGAGGGAGGAATCGGCCAGCG